AGAAAAATATGTATGAATATTTAAAATGATTCTAAATTATTCAATCATTGCAAAGTATTAACATTAATTGCATTATCGTTTAATGTCCTTAATGAAATTTATTATAAGAAAATTATAAACTATTGAGCACGCTAATTATCGCTTGTACGATCTCTAAAGATTTTCAAACTCAAATGCATTAAGTAAAGTAGAGTGCAAGTTATTCGGCATTCTTTAATAGATATTCCTAGTTATCCTGTATTCAACAAAAACTTTAACATATTAAAGAGTCAGGCAAGCAATGAAAATATGCCATAAACGAACGAATAAACTCATGAAAATACAATAAAGTTAGTAGCATAATTACTTGGTCATCTTAATTTTTAGTCGCAGACAGATAAATTAAGGACGATTATCGAAATTATGTTGGACCGCCCATGCTATGTTATGCCATTGTCATGGAAATAAAAAATTATTTGAAATGTGGACTGCTTGATACACGATATTGCAAAATATTTCAAGTACCATGTTTATTCTTCTAGACGTATCAATTATGGTTAATAAAAAAAAAAGTATAAAAAAAAAAGATACCCATTAACGCTATTTTTAGAATCTTTTTGTAAATAAAGTAATTATATATTTAGTTACAAAATTTTGAAGAATAACTATCAATCTACCCTTTAAACTATCATTATAGGCCTTTTCGTGCGCGCGCGCGCACGCGTCTCTGAGCATCAGCGCTTATAATGAAAATAATATTGCCATTGTTAGCAGTAACATATCATTACTTTTATTATTATTATTATTTTTACTGCATAAAGTTTACGTGAAATATTAGCTATAAAGTGTCTTTTCTTCGTAAAACGACAATAAAACGAAAGCTATAGTAAAAGCGATAAATTATTTAAAAATTATTTAAAAAAATATAACTTTTATAACGAACATGCGCATAGTGTACATTCTGCCTTTTTACTTATATATCAATATCAATTACCATTTAATTGAATAGTTATAATTAAATGTATAAAGCCGCTTGTCAAGTTTTCTTTATATTGTGTTGATTTGACGATAAAAAAACGTAAAATAATTTTATTATTCCAAAAAACTTATATGCCCTCTTTCGTTTATTCACCTGAACAATATTTTCCCCTAAATATACTATCTGTCGGTAGACTATATTAGAATAGTTACAAAATCATTCATAGATGGCGCTCAAAGAAATTATTTTAACTATTTGTTTTATCTACACATTTAATGCAGCAATTATTATTATGTTGCCTTACAAGAATTATTAATATTCTGTATTTATTAATTATGATATAAAATTAATAATGTAAAATATACTCTATATTTTATAAAAAAATAATTTTCAAAGCGAATATTTTTTCGTACTTTGCAAACTATATTAAAATTCATGAAAATTTTATTTAAAATGTTTAATATCGAAGATTGTCTTTGAAAAATTATTTAAAAATATATAAATAATTTTACAATAGAATCACGAAACCATTTGATAATCGTAAAAATATAAGTTTGCATAAAAAAATATTTTAAGGACATTAAAGAGCAAAATCATGGATCGCGATATGCAAATGTTCACAATTAAATCATTTCTAAAAGACATTCGTATACTCAAAGAAACTTTGGCAAATCTAATCATAGCATTTTCACAATATCTCTGAATCACTGTGTTTTCCCTGGCTAAAATATTTATCTAATATGAATCTAATAGATAAGAAAGTTCCATTTAGCTGTCATTGTTGATCGAAACTGACATTAAACAATAGTCAAAATGTTTCATAATTTTCAAACAATACTTACAAAGAAATTGAAATAAATGCTCATTGCGGTAGTTCCCCCTTTCATGCAAACGTCATTCTTGAGCAAATCTTACTTGAACGCCTTCGATCGATCCGATAAAAACATATTTAGTCTTTATGATTTAGAATATTTTCAACTTATTTATCATTAGACATATCATTACTATATTCGAATACTTAATATTTGCACTATAGGAAGCTAACTACATATTGTAAGCGTACATATATAAATTAACATATATATATATATATATATATATATATATATATATATATCAAAATTATTGAGTTTTATAATATTCTTTTCACAAAATAAAAAAAAAAGGTTCTTTTTGTAGTTTAAGAAATTACATACACTTTATAGAAAAATTTCGTAGAAACAACTAGAATACAAAATATGAAAGATTATACTCATTCCAGATGGAAAAGTTTTATTAGTATAATTTGGCAAGGTTAATTGCTGCCTACAAAAAAATTAATTTTTATCTAATATAAATATTACATATCCATATCCTCATTTAATATAAATTATTATTTATTTAACGAATAAATGTTGTAATAAAAAATTTAGATTTCAGTTACAAAAAGAATGATAATATCCTGGTTAAATTAATGACTACATGTTAACAATTAGAAAGTTCGTAGTGTTTTTCATATGATAGATAATTAAAAATTCTACTTTTTAATTGATTTTATCGTCAATTTTTATAAAAAAAAAAAAAAAAAAACGTTTGCTACATCTTGAGTACCCAATATTGTTTTTAAAATATAATAAAGCTTTTCGCAAATATTCGGTAAAATTTTGGACAACCGTATGTAATATTAAAAAAAGTGTATATATAGTGTTTGAAATTGTAAAATTACTTAAAAAAAAAATAGTCAAAAAGAAATTTTAAATTCCATTGATTAATTAGGTTAATTAACGAAATTACTTAATCAATATTTTCATTATTTTATAACTGTGCGAATTAAAATTAAGCAATATTTAAAATTATTAAATTAGGAAATATTTGAAATCAGAAATTATTTTCTTTTTAAAAAAAAAAAAAAAAAAGTAAAGGAAAGAATATAACGACTACTGATGCCGTAGTTTTTGTACTAGCAATTAGCAAATAGTGAGAAATATTAAAATAATATACGGAAAAGATTAAAAAAATCTTTGAAGAAAAAGATTATAATTTTAAATATAAGAATACTATATATTTATTTTTCAAAATGAAGCGTGCACGACAGAGAGAGAGAGAGAGAGAGAGAGAGAGAGAGAGAGAGAGAGAGAGACTGAGAAGTAACAGATAAAACGTAAAAAAAAAAAAAATTACATTGAAAGTTACGAAAATAAAATATAGAGATGGATGAAGTAAGTAAATTTAAACATCATAACTGACATTTAAAATATTTAATAGAATCTCACTCGACAAAATCAAATTGTTATTTAATAGTGTGATCAAATAAAGTAAAAGGAACAGAATAAAAATTTTTAAATGAGTATTTAAATACGACGAAAGACAAAAAAAATTAATTAAAATCGATCTCACGAAACGTATAAACGAAAAAGTAAAATAATAAAAAAAGGAAGAGGAAATTGCTAATTGTTAAAGTTCAGGAAATATTTAAATGTAAAAAATACAAGAATCGAAAAATTGCTAGCAATATCATAAAGTATAGGGGAAAATATATCATGAGACTACAAGAAGATGACGAATAAATATAAACGTATAAAACAATACCAATAACACCTAACGTATAAAAGCCATTGAATAAAATGTATATATGGAGAGGAAGTGAGAAGATAAAAATAGCATATAAAAGAGAATAAATAGTAGGTTTATTAGGATTGGCAAATGTAGGAGAGGACAAGTTGAGAAGTGAAAATATTCTGAGAGCTGGAGAGGAAAAGTATAATAAATAAGAGGTAAAATAAAAGAAAGGAAAACAATCATATTTAGATAAAAGTAGAAAAATTCGAAAGACGCAATGATAGTATTACACAAACGTAAAATGAAAATGAACGTGGTGGTAACAGACAGTGTAGGAATCGCAAAAATTAATAGATAATATGAAGTTATTAATTACATGATATGTGGAATATAACAAAATATGCTATGTTTGTAGTAAGTTCCATAGCGGATGAAAACAATTACTTGTAATAAAGGAACTTGAATTCAATTTGATTATGAAATTGTAAGTAGGTATCGCAGATACCACGGATGAATGAAATATTTTATTTATGCTGAAATTTGTCTACCAATCTTATTAGCCAATATTACTAAACATATGATTGTAAACATTTGTATTATAATCCTAATTAGCTGCGATTACATAGATTACAAATACTACTATTGATATCGAACAAAATACATCAAAAATAGAAAGACCTGCTATTAAAACTATTATATTTGTTGCATTAAATTTATAAATTTGCGTTGGAATTTGAATATTGTTTTTAGTATGTTATACGGCCCAGTTAAAGCTGTACACTTTTCATAACAGATTGCGATAAAAATTCCATTTATCAAACCAGTACTTGGATGCTTTATAATAATTGGCCGTCAAATTGATTATATCTTGCGATTTCCATATTTGGAATACTTTAAACAAAACATATTTTAGAAAGTAATTGTAGTACTATCGTGTAAGCTAAATCAATTTTCATAGTATAAATAATGCACGTTTACAAAAGATGAGGAAGTACATTAGGTTTGCTATTTTCCATAATAACCGACAATCCCCCCCCCCCCACGTATCGCACAGATTACACAAAACTTTCTCGAGTAGAACAGTTGATTTTGCAACTTTCATTGAAATATTTTTAACCTTAGCCCAAATGCAGCCCCAGCTTATAGCTTATCCTCGATAATACATCGATACTTTGCTCGTAAAAGCGAAATGCTCATCGGAGTAAGTAGCAACGATCGACTTGAATTGCATAAGGAGCGAGCGAGAGTCCCGGAGGCATTAAAATGTAAGTCAGTGGATCGCCGAGCCCCGGCCTCTCTCCTTCCTCCGCGCGACCGCCGCCCTCGTCCCCGCCCCCGCTGCCGAGGATGGGAGCACAGGTGCCGTCCGCGCCCAGAGCCGCAGCCAGCAGGAACTCGAGGCACTGCGCCCCAATGTATCGCGTGGACCACGGAGGTGGGCTCCTATAAAACGCCCCTCTCGCCCGGTTCTCGCGCACTGTATCTTTCATCCACTCGCGCGACTCGCCTCTTCAACCCACTCGATGAGTGCTTCATTCGTAAGTCATCGCGTTTATTCTTATTCCTATATAGCTCCATATTGTCGACAGCGGCTTCTTACTTTCTTCGCTCCAACTCTCATTGCGCTTACCGTTTACGAAAATGGCCAGTGGTCCGATAGTTCTCTGTGCAAATCTACAGAAACTATTGGCCGGGCTTCGTTCCAGCGGTCCAATTAACATTTATCGAGTGTTTAGCCCGAGTATCAACGGTATCTATTAATAGTATTCCCAGCCCCTCTTTTGTTTCTTTCTCTTTTTAATCTACTAGTTGCGCTAAGCACAGTATTGGAAAAGATACTTTAATGAAGTTCAACTTACGCGATTTGTGCAGCTTTAAGCGCAGCGAACACTTTCTACTCTATAACTATATATTTATAAAATTCCTTGCTGTAAAAACTTTTCTAACGTCGATAAGAGGATTTATAAATGCGCCAAACAATGCCCATCACTCCCGTTTAATAATGTTCAATTTAATACCTTCGCATACGACGTCCAATTGCAGCCATTTATTAATGAAAGAATTATTTAGAAAGCACTTGCTACATTTCTACTTTTATATAAATATCGAGGAACATGCCTCCAGTTTTCAGGGGGGACTAATGTGCGGCTTAAACGATTTTATCCTCACGCCGATTTTACATCTCGCTAACTTGTACTATTAAAAACTGTTCTAAGCGAGGTTGCTTCGAGTCGTATTAAAAACGTATTTTAAAGTCATTGAATATTCAAATTTATTATAAAAAGAAAAGAAAAAGATAGAAGAAAAAAAATTAAAAAAAAAAAAAAAAAAAAAAAAAAAAAGAAACTATTATACAACTCATTATTGAAGCCTTATTTAATAAAGCCCTATTTAACGCAAATAAATAATTAAGATATTAATTCGTTTGTTATTTTACAAAAATTGAATATATCAAAGCTGATCTATCATGGCTAATTTTGCTCCAATCTTCTTCCAGTTACCAACATAATAAAACTGTGCATTAATTTTTAATGTGAATTCAAAAGAAAATGAAATTAACGTCGTAATGGTAAATCGACGAAATTAGGAGGAAAGCAATAAGACGGAGAGAAGAGGCCGTTATTTGGCGTAATTCGCAAAGACCGATGACCTTGGAAATACCATAAACGACGACTGGAGTTGTTAATACGTGGATGCGACATGTTTAATAATATTCAAGATTTGTCAATGGCATTTCACATATTCATTGTCTTTCATCGATAAACGACTCCTTCCATCGCCGCCCCCTTCAAACCACCGCCGCAGATCCATATTCCCCTGATAATCGTCATTGTGTGCTGCAGGTAATACTGTCCTGCGCGATCGCGTTGGCGAACTGTCAGCTGAACTATCGTCAACCTTCTCATAGCGCTGCGATTTTGAAAGATACGCGCTATCTATCGGGTGATGGAACCTTCGGGGCTGCTTACTCCCAGGAAGACGGAGTCGAATTCAAGGAGGAGAGCGACGAATATGGAAATCGCCGGGGCTCGTACTCCTACGTAGATCCCACTGGACAAAGGCGCACAGTTACGTACACAGCGGGCGTTAATGGTTTTCAGGTACGTCCACAATTTCATTTAATAGGCGCTTTATTTTCGCACCATTAGCCGCTTCTGAACAATCGTTTCATCTACAAATTCACCTCTACTTATTTATCTGGAAATAATATTTAAAAGCTCGATGTCTGTCTTAAAAATATTACGTGCCACGTCGGCTACGGGTGTTCACGTAGCATACATTGCCTAATCCAATAACTAAATTCTTCGACATAGTCTTGCCGATTTTATTGTTCGGAGAAAGTAGATTTAACGAGACGTTTTTAAACATAATAAAATATTGTATAATATCATTATCCGCATATATACGATATTTCTCTAAGACAACAACTCATCGGCTTATTATATGGCCAATGTAAGTAGTTCAGTAATTCGCTAAGCCGTAGCTATTGCTATTATTTTGCGATATTGTGTTCGATAGAATTGGCGCAATTCAATAATTACTTCCTCATTAAAAGATAAATTTAAGATCACGTGAGAAACGAGAATGTAGAAATTCTTGAATAGAGCAGCTTGTTATGCTGGGAGGAAAAGAAATTATTTTCTATTCAATGACATTGCATAACAAATTTCATAATAGGACATTTTCAAAAACAGATTAGCGCTCGAACACGATATTTTCCGTCTAATTTACTTTATCGTTCAGCCTGCCAGTAAATTTGCAACTTTAGATAATTGAGATAATTAAAGGAATGCATTGGTTTAACAACAACGACAACTCATTACTAACGTAATAATAAGTTCCTTCGGGGCATCAATAATTCCTTTTTTATAAATAAAAACTTATAAATAATTAAAGAAATGATATGAAATTCTAAAATTTTTAAATAAAATTATATTTATTTATTTATTTATTTTTTTTTTTTTTTTTTTTTTTTTTTTTTATTTAAATACGTATCGCTTCACATTCATTATACGTAAAATTGACGACCATTAGTCATAGAAACGTGTGCAGCATAACGTACGAGATTTATTCTTTATTATCATCGTGATAATTAAAAATTTTAATTTCGTTACACTTAAAATTGACTTCTAAATGTTCTAATTATTCATTAATGTTAATATGGAATTGGCTTTTACGTTATTATGCATACCATATAATGGTGTAATTGAAAAAATTTCATATTACTTCACATTGATGGTGACTCGATGCATTGAAAATTAACTATCAAAATAATATTCATTTTGTGCAAAGAGAAATAAGATAGTCCAGTCCTAAACCAACTAAGAATTGAAAGTATACGTATCATTAAAAAAAAGTGTCAAATATAAAAATTAATTCAATCACATTCGTGTTTGGAGTAACTTTAACAGATTATCAATAATATAATTATATTTGGAGATCTAATATATTCCTGTATGATGCATTAATATATAAGTAGCGAATAAACAAATAAGCTATTGAAGCGTTTTTTTTTTTTATTCAATGCTTAGTGATTGTTTAGTTTTTTAACGTTCCTATTAAAACATCCCATAAATTTCAATATCAATTAATTCTACTAATTATCAAATCATTAATTACATTATTAACAAATTAATTAATTAATTTAACGTAGAAAATCTACGTTAATGCTCACTTCATCATACATCACATTACAAAAAAGATGTTTGGATTTTTTTTTTTTTTATAATAATAATAGGACATGTGTATTACGCGTATTTATACATACCACTTGCTATTTAATACAGGCCAGTCATAAATAATAATTACTTCCAGTCAATCCATACTTATTCAATTTCAAGAAACAATAGAGTTCTGTTTCAAACGTTTATTATCTTTATACTTAATCGTACCACTTGAAATTCTATTCAACGAAAGATTGCTCGAGTAACGCGAGCATCTAATACATTGTGCAATTGGAAATTAAAATACAATTTATGCACACAATGCCTCGAGCATTAAATAATATTATAAGCGAAATTTCACTACAACTTTTCATTAAAAATGATTGCAAAGAACGCATTATGAATTTTCCTTTAAAAAACTTTATTCAAAATGAAATCTCAATGCGTAATGCATAATAATCAACATTTTGGCCGATTTTGCAGTACTTTACAGTCATTTTAGCGCCATTTTAGCGCCATTTTAGCGCTTTAAAGTCATTTATGCGTACAAGTTGAAGTTTGCTTTTCTTACGCTAGCTAAGCCTCGCCACGCTTACAAACACAAACAGATCTGCTTGAACGAAAGCATCCCAATATTAATATGATTATCTTAACCAAGCATTAAATTCGTTGGGGTAATTCTCGCTTCGAGCCAAATGCGCGGCGCTCGAGGAAACGTCCGAGTCGCCATTACCGTCGAAGGCGTAAAATAAGTAGGATACTGCCCCCGACGTGGGCGAGCCTCCTCCGCGCATCGCCGCTATAACTAGCGACTCCTTAACGGACAGCAGCACCTATTGCTAAAAGAACGGCGCGTCGTTCCCTTTGCAGGCAAGCGGTGACCACATCCCGTCCCAGCAGCCGCCCACACCGCCCCAGCCCGAGTACGTGCCCCTGGCCCGGTACAACCCGCCAGACTACCAGCCGCCGCTACGCCCACCTCGTTACCAGCTGATTCGGCAGTCGTACGAGCCCCGATACGAGACCCAGGAATCGGTACAGGTGCCGCCCCCGCCTCGACGCAATCGACCCCCGGCGACAACTCCACCCGAGCCTGTAAGTACTCTCGACTGACACGACTAGGGCCCAATGACGTAGTGCAAACAATCCCGACCGAACGAGTCCTCGACTTATCGATAACTCACTTTAATACAAGCTAGCGAGACATGTATTTATTATTCAAGAAAGCTTTCGAATGCTCAATTTGCCAAATTGCGGCTTATCGTTGCTCTCACTCTCTCTCACTCTCTCTCTCTCTCTCTCTCTCTCTCTCTCTCTCTCTCTCTCTCTCTCTCTCTCTCTCTCTCTCTCTCTCTCTCTCTCTCGGAAAGCAATTTTCAATTTGATCGAAGCTTCTACGTAACGCGCATAAACGCAATTGCATATCATCATTCGTAGCTCTAGCGCTACTTGCCATTCATTCTACGCATCGTCCGAATTTCTAAAAGCGTCACAACGACATTCCAAAGGAATGCCTATGGGAAGGACTAACAGTCAAACTGACTAAGAATCCAGTATGATATTCCAATTAGTGAGATCTTCAAAGCCGAGCGGTCTTGGAAATATAAAGTATCGACCATGTATTTCAAATATCTGTACATTGTGTAAATTGTATAAAGCCGAATACAATGCAGCGATTAAAAAAAAAAAAAAAAAAACTTGTACAATTATTATACAACGAACTGTCGCGAGTCTTGCTAACGCACAGATTGTATAATTTATATTTTTGTTTCCTGCTGCGAGATGCAGGTCCGCCGACTGCACTCACTGAATTATTTATTACCTAGAATTTTTCAATATTATTCAATAATACAGACGTAATCGTGCATCGCAATCATAACGATAACTCAGTTGCAGTATCAGTCGCCCTACTTGGAGTACCCGTCACCCCGAGTACGCTACGAGTCAACGACTGACCGTGCCCAGTACCGACCGACGCCTACGCCACCATCCCCGGCCCGCTTTTACTACAACGAGCTCACGGCGCCGACGTCCAAAAGGTTCTATCCACCCGGGAAGCTCGACTTCAACAGGACACCCGACGGTTTCTCTTATACGTTCAGCAAAAGTTGAGCGAACGAGTCGAACGGCATTGGTTAGCGGATCAGCGCCATTTCCTTACCTACTTGACATCTCTAACACCTACCCTTTTTGGAATTTATACTTATTTTCTCACTGGCCTTTGCGGCAATGAGTTTAGTTATCTTCGCTTATGATAATAGTGTGCGATGATAATGACAAAGCTGTCTGATTATCGACGAAATTTCGTAACTGTGATAATGTGACGTTAAATCAAAATATCTTATTACATTGCATAGTATTGCTTTGAAGGACCTTTAAGAAAATGTACGACAATGCTTACGATACAATAAAAACAAAAAAAAAAACAAAAAAAAAAACAAAAAATAAAAAATAAAAAAAAATAAATAAATTAATCGCCCTCGTTAATAATGATTAATATTTTCATAATTTATTGGTAACATAAATATAGCGAGACAAATATACCGCATTAATCAAGTACTTTTTCATAGTGTCAGTTTTATCAATAAATGCGTTAATTTTGGTTCAAATAGTACGTGATAAAATTATGATTATTCAGCTGGTAATTTGGATGATGTGATAAGAAAAAAAAAATTTTTAAATATCCTATAATAATATTTTGAAGAATGTTCTATGCTTGAATACGTCATACGTCTTAATGCTTAAATATACGAAAAATATACGGCCAACCTGACATTTTTGTCCTTTATGACAGTCCACTTATCATTGCCATTTAATTATCGTTTTCAAAAAATGTTTTTTCATAGCACTACGTAACTATTATTTACGTAAAATTTTTCGCAAATGTTATTTGCCTCTTCGTTCGTCAAAAGTATTTTAATACTTTATGCAATTATTAAGCATAACAACGTTGCAGCTTCATGAAAAATGCAAACGTCTCGTAATTTTTGCGTGAGAAAATATTATTTTGAACTTATATTGAAATTAACATCCTTTCGAACTTGTTAATTGGGCTGCGTGTATTGACCTTGGGATTTTTATAATACCATTGTAGAAAGAACTTCGCATTCATCTGAAAGATCTGAACCACTGATTAGTAGCAAAAAAGTCGCGGGTGGCCTCTATAAATTTACCTTTATCGACGTTGACTTTTAAACTTCTTTTTTTATACCCTTCGAGTTGTTAATAGCTATGCTAAGATGTGATTATCTGTTACTTTTCTTGACGTCTACTTGTGTTAACTGATTTATAATACTATCTAATTCATTTGCATCTTTCACAATATCTCATAACCACGTTAGTTCAATTTAAAAGTAATATTGTACAATAATTAGGCATTAAAGGCATTGATTATCAGGTTTCATTAAATTTCTTTCATAATAAACCGCATCTTTTAATATTCTAGATCATTAACAATCTCCATCGAGTAAAATACATTCCACCCGAAATTTTTATAATTTATCGAGTTTAACTTATATAAATTATAAATAATGAATTATATTTCAATTACTATTTTTATTCGTAAATTTATCGACTATTTATCGCACTATTTATCGAATATATGGACGGTGTAAAGTAAGGATATGCCGCATTTATTGATTAAAATATTCATTTAATATATCTTATCGATGATGAAAAATCAGCCATTGAAATAAATACGTTAACAATTGTGTCTAACACTAACGAACAAATAATTTACTAACTAATTAAGAAATTCTTTGAAATTCTGTTTTATTAAAACATGTAATGCTTATAGGAGCACGCGTATATATATATATATATATATACTATTTTTCTTAATTGCAAATTAAGAAACTATAAATGGTATACAAATACAATACTATAAAACAAGCAAGACAAAGCTAATGATGATGCAAATGAGCATTTCATATATTGCGCACAAAATGTTCAGAGTTAAAGAAATGAATAAAAAATCAAGTTATAACCGCGAACACCAGATTCACTTTCATCCGCGAGGCTTCGATTCCTCTCACAGTATGGCGTAACACATGCCATTCCCATTGCAACCATACCTACAACTCCCACATTAAAGTCTATTGTTATTTTTCGCTCACAACGACCGAGAGTTCAAATTGTTTTGCACTGTTCTGAATATTATGAGACGCGGGCTTACATTCATTTTGCAATCTTGTAACTTCTTAATTGCACTGAAAAGTATTTATAATGTATACCGTTTCGATAAAGACTCGCTCAGTGCCACAACTTCATGATTATTTAGATGATCAGCTGGATAAATACTTATAAGCACATGTATGGGCAAATTAACTCAGCTGAAAGCTCCAACATCATATTTATTTAAATCATTTATATCATTTAAATTGAAACAACGAAAAATCAAGGATAAAACACCTCGGCCCTTACCTCCTTTACCTCTTCTAAATCGGCTCCAAAATAATCTCCAGCAGCTTTATGCATTACTTTGTTTGCATAATGCAAATAGCACGATCCTAAAACAAAAATCCTAATAAAAAAAAAATAAAATAAAAAAAAATAAATAATAAAAAAATAGGTATCTCGGGAGCATTCGTATATGCGCGACCGATCCCCGATCCTCGATAACGACACGAAAGGCTGAATTCCCATGATATGTATCTCTGTCAGACCACGTGAAGCATTGCCGATCGTTTAATTGTATGACGAGGATTTTTCGTGGATCCGCACCTAGAGGCGAGTGCAAGGGCGCGATAAGAGTCTCTCTCTCTCTCGTTGCGAATTTATAATGGGCACTTTATCGAGCGTATCCTACATTGTAGGAGCATTCCTCGAGTTCCCGTGGGCCGTAGATTGAAGCTGGTTCGCCTTCGGGCCGCGCCCTCTTCGAGGCCATCGTGACTGCACGTGAACTCGGGGTCACATCCCGCTGAGGACAATCTCCATAACGCACTCCACCAGTGCATCCCGTGGCTCCTTATTTCTCGCCTTTCTTTCCGATTTTCGAGTGAGGCTCGTCTTTGTTGCTCGGCAATGCTAAACTGCGCCAGGAAAGTTCGTTGAAAGACAATCGAGGGGCAAACTTTCCTATTGCTTAAACCTATATATATATATATATATATATATATATATATATTATCGACAATCGCGAATAAAACGCAGTCTACACGGCAATGGCTACTAATTAATGAAAATATGTATTTGCTCGTCTTAGTAATTAGCTCTGATTAGGAAAGGGGATACTGCATGGCTTTGCGATTCAATTTCATTGCCGAGTCTTTAAGCCATTTCTCATGATGCATTAAACGTTACTATCTACCAATTACAATAATAAAGACAATTGCCCGCAATTTAGATTATAGATATAAAGCTTAAATTTAACGATACGATATTAAGATAAGATTTAATTAATACGGTTCGCCATATTCTAAATATCTCTAAATAGAAAATTTTAACATCCTTATAACAATTAAATAATGCTCAATTATTTCTATTCTATATAAAATAACATTACCTATATGTCATAGCTCAATGTTTATAAAGCAAAGTACTATACCATGATAAATTGTACAATAATTCAGCAATAATACATGATGCGAATTCGAGATCGTACAAGCTTTAATGAGTAAATTTTTTATACGTTCGCCGGATTTTCTACAAAACTTTCCGCTCAATTAGTCAGTCTTACTTACGATAGATTGATTAAAAAGAAAAAAAGAAAACGAGGCTCGACATAAAAATTTCATTGTAACAAACCCAACCCAAGAAATTAGTAATGCCTTTTGTTCCTTTTATTACATTACAGTCATTGCTAAAGACTATCCAGCAAATTATCTTGTTCAGTTTTTCTGCTGCTAAATGTTCATTACGACTCTGTTTCACCACTCGAACAATTGACTCCGTCTCAATTACACTTAATAATATTGCTAGAAGAACATTGTAAATACTTTTTGTAAGTTAAGAAATGTGTAAGGGAGGACATTTATCATATAAAATCAATTCAATTTATATTCACATCGACGAATCTTTTAAAGCATAATATACATAAATTAATTATCGAATAAAAACTTTATCCATTATGAAAATTAAAACTTATATTACAATCATATTAAATAAATGTTTTAAAGTAATAAGAGAGCATTGCTTAAGCATTTAAAAACCCCAATCCTTAATTAGTCTTAACTTTATTATTTGTATGAAAATAATTATTGAATAAAGCTTATACGAAACCTGATTTTTTACAATATTTACTTCATTCGTTATTGATGAAATCGTTATCTAATATAAAGTTAATAAAAGAATTACAATATTAGAAATAAAATATTGTTAATATTTTTGGTCAAATATCTAAGAAAACGTAAATATATTATCAAATTTAGGCAAAAATGAAATTTTCATCAGAAATTTTATCGTTTTTTAAATGGAATTTAAAATAAGGTAATATTAAACATTTCACTTAATATACTTTTCGGTAAATAATGAATATTATTAACGAATTTTGAAATACCTTACATTATATAAATATATGAAAAGCAGTAAGATTGAAATATCACCAAAATTTTTTCAAATATTACTTCCTTTCTTAATTAATATATTTTTATTACTTAAAATTATTTTAAAATGTTCTAGTGAATTAATATTATATTATCGAAAAACTTAATTTTTTTTTATTTCTTATTTAAAACTTTATATGCTTTACAATATTTTCTGTAGAATTTATTATAATATCAAGAAAAATTATTGTTTACTTTTTCTTAACTAGATAAGTATAGAAGGCAATATTGTTATAATATATTTCACAAACAATTTATTCATTTGTATACATATAGATATTTTGTAACACATTTTATTTTATGCACTTCAAAAATAATATAAATTTAAAAGGAAATACTAATAAAGTGATTAAAATTACAGACGAATTTACTAAATTATGCGTAATTATTAATAATTAAATTTATTATTCCATACACATATATATATATAATTCCTTAAAAATTGGAAGCTCGTATACGAGACTCATATATGCGTTATTGGTTAATTGACAAATTAAATATATGTACAACCTATTTACCTTTATTTATATTAATCATTATAAGTTTAAAAAAAAATATGAATGGCTGAATGTCTATCAGTTAAATTGAATTCATTATTTCAACGATTGAAACGATTTATATAAGATATGAGTATTTTTATGCAAATATTTTGGGATATACGGAATGAGATTTAAAATAGACGATATAAATTAATATTTAATATTTGTTAATTATATCATTTATGATTTAAATACGCATACCTCGTTTCATATATAAAAAACATGTTTCTACAATATTGTCGAACAAAATTAATGTAAGGTATTTTATATATAGTCACTCGATACTACATATATATTTATATATACACACATATACATATACATACGTACATATATATATATATATATATATATATATTAATAATTCACATCAATATTTTATTTACTTGTGTGTACTACGAGAACAAAATGAAAACTAATCAAAATTCTATGTAAGCAGCATTGATAAGTAAATTTCCATTAAAGTAAAAGATATTCGAGCGAAAACAGCAATTATATCGTTAAACAATATTATCAGTAGCGAAAGATAGAGTGAGATACACATTGTAAAATATTTAAAAATAAACTCGAACGCCAAGTGCACATATTCATCAATATAGCAGACATGAAACAACCACCTTCACGTATGCATATTTTATGAAACTAAAATTAATCGACGAATTATATTCTTACAATACATAGCAATTTAATATAAGATTATTATATGAAAAAAGTCATTCATCGCATAAACATAAATTTGACGACATTAAAAATCAAATCTATTTTGTTTATAAAACGCGTAAAACATTATAATTACGAATGTTTATCTTTATTGTAATTACAATTATTATAGAATATTCAAATACTTTATAAAATCTATCAAATGTTACGATTAGTCATGTAGACCCTATTACACAAACATAATCAATTTATATTAAATATTACATTATTTTTAATTGAATGGGAAAAAATATTAGATAAGTAATCATATATATGGTACAGAAAGGAAAATGAAAATAATATTAACAGGGATGTGTTAAAATTTAAGAAACATATATATTCAAATATGAATATATGGTTTAAATAAAATTCTGAGGTATAATTTTTAGTATGTTTTTACGAATCCCAGCATGAAGTGCAATGTTCCCTTAAGAGTTATTTTTTATTTTAAATTTGTATTGACTTATAGTAATATAAATATGGTAATTGTTAATAATGAATAACTTCGAGTTTGATAAATGACTTAATATGATTTATTTATTAAGGTATGGTGAGTATACATTGTATTTCATGATTATGGAAGTAACTTACTGGCTCAATTGAATTGTGTTCCTTACAACAATATAAGTCAGTTATATTTATTTTTACTTAAGAATTGATTCCTTACAAAAGTATAAAACAAAAAACTTATTGAATGAAATCGTAAGTTTATAACTTACACTCATATTAAACGCGATGGCAATGTGCCTCCTAAACACGCTCCATAACTCCGATGAAATATAAAGTCAATCATAAGGCACCAAATGTACCGTATGTACATCTTTCCAAAACGTAATTGTAACGTCTCAAATATGATATTTTTATACACTTGTCACTAAAAATTAGTATCACTAAATCTGTTATCATGTATTTACTAAAACGCGTATTCTTAAGCCTTCAACAATTCTCGAAAAATGTTTTACTCGTATAATTATACTTAGTAATTCTTTTAAATCTTTTTCAAGAATTTTTTTTATTCCACATTTAAAATATTAATTTTAGTCCATCATTGTTACGCTAAACATTTATATAATTTATATATAAAAAATTGCGATTTATAAAAAATTCATTAATTATTATATTTTGATAAAATAAAGCCAATTTAATATTTTAGTATATATTTAAATTATATAAAATATTAGGCATACTTTTGTAATTAAAAAAGATGAGATCAAATACATTGATTTAAATGAAAATCTAAAATAACAATTTTTTTGATTGCGAGAAAGGAGGCACAACTCAATCACAACTCATCGCATATCTAATGAAAACTATATATGATTTATGATCTAAAGTTAAGATCGATGGAAGTAACAATATTATTTTTTACAGTAAAAAATCTAATATCACTAGTTCGTTAGCAAAATTGCTTAAATTTGTTAAGTTTTGAGAATATAGTGGGAAAAATTCTTAATTTAAAATATTAAGAGTTTAAGAATAAAATTTTGTAAGTACATCTAGAGCCTGTGCAAAGCTATTTCAATTAGGCACAAAGATTCGAACATAAATATTAACGTGAGACAAAGAATGTAAATTGTAACAGAAAAAAGATCACATTTACATTTATGTATTGCGAAAGATAGCGGAAGAAACATCTGATGATTATATCTAATAATAAAAAGTACATGTTTATTATACTTTTTTTGTTTTTTTTTTTTTGTTATTTTATAATGTAATGATACGTCTTTATAATAAAAACTTAATAAATTTTTGAAAACTCAGATGAGTAAACCAATAATTAATATTAAAATTTTGCATAAAATAATTTAACTAAGCTATATCATTGAGGAATTACCACATATATACATACGTAAACACGGGCATGCTCGCACACCCACATACGCGCGCATATGAGGTTTTTATATGAGCGTATCGTATTCATGGGGTATCAGATCGTACGCATGCAAGTGCGTATATATGCATGTATTTAAATAGAAATGTACTTTTAAAAAAGTATAATTAAATTCTCATCCAAAGTAAGGAGTTTTCTGAAAGACAACAATTCCGTCTCTGATAAAATAAAGTGTCAATAAAAACAAATTTCGCAGTCTTAGTTAACACGATTAAAAGAATATAATTATTTTTAAAATTATAAAATGAATTTAGCTGTATTGTATAATTTTAATATAAATTTAATAACATTTTGTAACACCCTGAACTTTTCTATAATACTAAGATAAACAATGAAAAATAAAATTACAATCACAATAAGCAAACAAACTTGATAATGCTAACTCCAAAAAGTCATCAATGTGTGATGCACAATAATATCTTCGGTTAATTAAGTTGACTTGCTTCAGTCTATAAAAGTTTCTCGAACTCGTATCTTTTCTAAATAATCAAAAACATTCACACTCACAAAGCATGTTACATTCTTTATATTCACATGTTGGATATCCTCGTTTTACTTTAAAAACGAGTTAATGTTGCAATTAATGGAAATTATATCTTAGAAATATTTTCCAATATCATATTGAGGAACAACTAAGAAGCTAAAATTACGATGAACTAAAGAAGCTCCGATAATGAATCAACATTAAATGTCTACAATCGGCACAATTTCTCCTATCGTCAAGCAGTCAAACCGCAAAAAGATCAAAACGAATCACCCTGTGCGCCACATTAATTAATGACGAGAACAAAGCCATTGTTAATCACTAGCAGCAATAATATCGTACTCAAGATAAGTTGATTTGCATAAAATGCTCTCAAGTGCTTGTTAATAACATGAAAAAAAAAACGTTTGTCGTCGTGTTGAAGCATCAAGTGCACTATAATATCGTAAAATTAATGCACCAAAAGCATTAAAGAGCCAATAAAGAGGCGTTCGCGCTCAAAAGACGCTCGATGATGTTTCGCAGCCATCACACAGAGGCCCCACCTCCTCTGCCTCCTCCTCCTCCTCCTCATCTTTTTTCTTCTTCACACTCAGCTCTACGTCTTTGCCATTCTCCTCGATCGTTTGCTCTTCTTCGCTTTCTTCCTCATCATCCTCCTCCTCATCCTCCTCCTCCTCCTCGTCCTCCTCCTCCTCCTCCTCCTCCTCCTCTTCCTCTTCCTCTTCCTCCTCCCCTTCATTCTCCTCTTCCCCCTCCCCCTCCATCACCGCCACCTCCTCGCCGTCATAAAAGCGTCTCCCACTCGTGCGCTACGGTAGTACGCGGATCGAGGGTGCGACTGAGGCGCCGTAGGACAAGAAGCGCCGACGAGACCGCTCGAGGATATTCTAGCTGCAAAGGCCTGAGGGATCAACGAGGCCGCGGGCGATGAGCTCCGCGGTCGCCGGGTCCTGCTTGCCGGAGGCTGCCGCGGCTGCGGCGGCGGCTACAGCCGCTTGCTGGGCGTGAGGCTCGAAGTGTGAGCGCACGTGCAGGATGAATTCGGTTTTGTCCGTGAAGTCCGTACGGCACATCATGCAGTGGTGCCTCTCGGCTGGGTACGGTTGTGGCGGCGGTACCGAGCCCGGGAAATACGCTGCCGCGTGCTGAGGCGGCCCAGAGGCTTCCAGATGAGATCTGTACAGTGAAAACGGTTGTAGGTGCAAGAGCAGTTAGGTTCGGCTATCTGAGCTCAGCATAAAAAACATTAAAGATGATATTGAGGAGATGCTCAACATAATTGAAAGTTACGACATGTCCGTGACATGACCGCTTGGGCGCTTAAATCAAACAGACTTATGAAAGAAGCTGAATAACGTTGGGACTTTGTGCAAAATCATAAGTCGTCGGTCGAGTGACGCGGGAACTCCAATACCTAGTATACCTCACAAGATCACACACAATACTGCCGGCATTATTCGAATTTTTATTAACGGTGAGGGATAATTTAATTTGCCTTTAAAATCATAATTCTAACATCAATCATTAAATAGTTATCTCTGGATTTTTGTTAAAAAGGCCTTTACTTTTTAGCCTCACACGCGAATATAATATTTGAAAAATAACACAACTATCGATATAACTAAACACAGGCTAAATGAATTTTGAAAGTTTAAAAAATATTTTTATCGTTTGATAGAAAATAAATTATTAATTAGACGAATATTGCATTTTACTAATTTATTGTTATACTTGTACAGGTCCCGCTCGATTAATTTGATAAAAGATCTTATAATTTGTATTCGATGTTAAATAATCTATCGGGATCTCGAATGATTTAAAAAAAAAAAAAAAAAAAAAAAAAAAAAAAAAAATTCAATTTCCTTTTAACTAATAATTTATACAGACCTTATTAAATAAATAATAGTAAATAACGTTACATGTACCTAGCATGTTGTGACCATTCTTCTCTAGTAGCTAATGCTCGGCCACACAATTCGCATGCCCAACTGACCGGTTCTTCTTTAGGTTTCTGAGTACTATCAGGGCGCGGCTGCTGCTGTTGTTGTTGTTGTTGTTGTTGTTGTTGTTGCTGTTGCTGCTGCTGCTGTTGTTGTTGTTGCTGCTGTTGCTGTTGTTGCTGCTGCTGTTGTGTGGCTTGTTGCTGTTGTTGCTGTTGTTGCTCATTGTGCAAACTGGTTACAGAGGGCGTCGAAAGAGATGCGACGCCTGGTCGATGGCGCAATTTATTCATATGAATCACCAATTTATCTCTTCGCGCAAATGCTTTACCTGTAGATATATATATATATATATATATATATATATATATATATATATATATATATATATATACAAAATTAGATTTACAATTCTGTTTAGTAAGAATATTTGGCCCCTCGATTCTAATTAGATCATTAGCAGTATTTGAAAACATGAACAGGCTAATATTTATATTTTTTCCACGTATAAAACGGAAAATTCGACTTAAAAAAGTATGCAGCCACAAATAGTATTCAAACATATATGTATTTACTCAATGTGCGTTATTTAAAAATGGCTTACAATTTAAAATAGAAATATAATATATAATAAGTTAATGTATGTGTAATATATATTCCTTAATACGTGTATAAATGAAACCCGTTAATAATTATCATTATTGTTGTTATTATTGTTGTTGTTATTATTGTTATTGTTTTTGAAAATAGCATTATAGTTGCGACGAAATAATTGAATTAACACAATTAGCTCGATTCCGTAGTACAATTGTACCCACTCCAACTGAAACGTATGTTATGTTTTTAAAATATGTAAATTAGAAAATATTTTATCAGAATTAAGATGGAAGGTTAAAAAGTTATAAATATTTTATTATACATAAAATGCAGAATAACATCAAAGTTTAATTTATTACAATTATATTAAAAATTATTCAATAGTTTAAATAATAAATTAATGAGTATAAAAAAAAAACAACTGAGGAGCATTTTAAAGAAGGTAATACCCTCATAATGCTTATATTTATTTATGGCATATTTAAAACTTTATTTTAAAATTGCATCATACCGAAAGACTATGCACTCTAAAATTTTTATATGCCTAATTTGAATAATAAAAATATTATTTTCAAGGCATGAACTGTACTATAAAATGCTGAGGTATCTTTTATACATTCTATTTATATATTTATCTGCGCGCGCGCGAGAGAGAGAGAGAGAGAGAGAGAGAGAGAGACAGAGAGAGGGAGAGAATGTGCGTAAGTGTGGATGGGTGTGTATACGCGCGCGCGCGTGTGTCATTAACATTAACATGCTATTAATATTTCTTTTATTATCTGCCTATCAAAAGCAACGGAATTGGTTTTTATCGTAGCTAACAAAATCACCATGCGCAAAAATTCAAAGCTATACTATCCATCCAAAATAATTGACTACGTACTATTACGACTACTGCTCTAGTAAATATTCTTTAGAAATCGAACACAATATCAATTTTACGCAATTAGGTAATTTTCATAATCGCTGGTCCTGGATATAATTCACATTGTATGTTAATTTAAGCCGGAGGTCCAATATAACGGGCGGTTAGTTTAACGAATAGCCGCTGCTTTCCAAAGGAGACTCGACGTTTGAAAAAAAGTACAAGCATCACCGTGACCAGGATCGACTCCCGTGGGACAAAGCAATTCAACATCGACGCTCATCTTATTCTCACCGCAGACTTCGCAGGAGTAGGGCTTTTCGCCCGTATGTATACGCATGTGGATGACGAGTTTGTCCTTGCGAGCAAGACCCTTGCCGCATACGGTGCATGCGAAAGCCTTCGTCGTCGGTTCGCCGGTATTGGTCGCCTTGGAGACGGAGCCCGGCCTTATGCTACTCGGGATGTTGGCTGCGTTGCGCAGCGGCTGCTGGTTCACCGACGATGCCTGGGCTCTGCTACCGCCGAACTGCGGCTCAGTGGCGGCGCCCGGGAAGGCCGACATCACCGCACCCGGCCGCATCGCCGATGAATAATCCGGAGACCTTGGAAAGAGATTAAGAATTGTCGATTTTCGAAATTTCGAGGGCAATGTCGAGCCCCGATGACGTTTTTAAGAAATTGCGCTACCTTGCGCTTCAAATCAAATAAATTTTTTAGATGTTGAGAACCTATATATAAACATCATCAGAATTATGATTTAGATACAAAAAAAAAAAACTATTTTTAAATTACTATTTTAACAACTGAATGAATTATAAATTTAAAATGTAAATTGAATGATATTCTTAATCTTTAACGCTTTCATAAAGCGTTACCTACGTTTAAACGTACATAAGTATCGATGACTGAAAGAAAGGAAAAAAAGAAGAGAGAGAGAGAGAGAGAGAGAGAGAGAGAGAGAGAGAGAGAGAGAGAGAGAACTGAAGAAGAAAAAAATTAAATACATATATAGTAGAAATATATATGATTTAATGTGGTATTGAATGAGCTGGTAAAAAAATTTAAAAATAAAAAAAAATAAAAAACAAAATAATTAAAAATAGCGGAGCGATAAGCGCTAAGGAAAAGTTTAAGCACTAATAGTTTCCGATTTGAAAAAGAAAAAAAAATATCGCTTGTCCCAGTAGTATAGCCGGCAAACTCGCTGTGATTAAGCCAACGAACGGTACTAAATACTTCCCCGACGTTCGGGGGAGCGAAAGAGTCATTTGGAGCTACTCACCAAGTACCGATGGAGCGGAGGACGCGGACACCGTCGTCGTAGCCAAGGCCGTCGTCAGGCAGCGTGAAAGTCGGATTGGGCGGCTGGGGCGCGGCGGTGGGCACGGGTCCCGACAAGAGCCTCGCCTGGGCCGCTTGCTGAGCCATATGTTGCTGGACGGCGGCATGAGCGACCGCGTGCGCCTCCACGTAGGCCGAGCGCTGCTGGTGCTGGCCGTTCGGCATCTTGTCCTTTTCGTTGCTCTGCGGCCAAAAGGAATTCCAAGCTTTCAGCTGACAGCTCGCAATACCCACATACGCGGCCATTTATATCGTCGTCTGGACAAGACCGCGATTATCTCGGCGGATAACACGCGGGACGTCGGCTTAGCCCCCCGACTTCGCCGACAAAAACGTTTCTATTCTTCGAACTCAATGCGATTCTATTATACTGCGTGTGTCAAAAGAATTCTAATTGATCGGATTGCTTGACTATTGAAAGTCGAGTCATTAGCACAGCGAGTAAAGGGTGGACTTTGGTACTTTTTATCTTGGTGATATTACTTGTAGGTGGTATCGATTACAAGCAAAGAAATTAGTTTCTCGGTATAAGTGTATTGTGGAGCTTATAATTATCTGAAAATTTTAACGAACTTTCAATGTAATTTCCATTTCATTTCCAGCAAAAGCTTTTCGCGGAACTTTTCATAAAGAAAGCGTTGGTATTCTGCGTTTATGTACTTGGAAAATGTTATTTCTGAAACTCTTTTATTATTATATAATTCGAGCAAATTCCAAGTTAATTACATTGTATAATTAAAAAAAAACAGAAAGGATTATTTTTCTTTGATCAAAAAGAAAAACAAAAGGCTGCTTCCACAACTTTAAAACTATATCTTTCAAAAATTTTATATTAATTTTCGTAATTTAAAGCTATGAAATCATTCGATGCGAATAAAATATTAGGGTGTTTTTTTTTTTTTAGAATAACAATGAATCAACGTAATAATATTTGAGCGATGGAAACTATCGATAAAACTAATTATTCCTCGATAATAATTTCAATTTTATTTGTCATAGCGATGTCGTGCATGTAACATTCGTAAATGATAATATAATGGATGCCACTATATTGAAACAATAATGTATTTTATTCGTCATTCGTCGGAAAGTAATTGAAAGCATATATTATCGTACAATTGGATATGCTTGTAAAGTATGATAAAAGACAATTTTTCTTCGAAATTGAACGAAAAAAAATATTAAATGAAATTTTTACTATCGTGACGATAATAAGGGAAAATAGATAAAATAAAATACAAAACAAAAAAACAAAATTTTTTTAAAATTTCCGTTAAATTTACAGTCGATTACGCGATTAACCAACGAGGACAAGCCATTGTCTCGTAACTAGCGATCCAAATATTCCCTCCGCTAAACAATTCGCAGAAGTTGAAATTAGTAGAAGCGATCGTTATAAATAGTACAATCAAAAGGAGAAAAACTGTAAGCCTTTAAAAAGGTGTAGGCCTATTTAGGTGCTGGAATAACGTATAAGAAACCATTATTGTTTACGATTTTATGTGCCGAGTATACTTATATGTACGTCAGTTCGTTCATACCTGATCGTACAAGACCAGTCTTCGCGATCTATACAGATATACGCTTAATTTATATGAAAATTCGACTCGTTAAACGAAATTCTCAATCGTCTCATAGAATAATAGGCTTATTTAATTGCCATATCATTATATAAATATAACGATAAAAGCAGATTTTTTTTTTTTTTTTTTTCATCCACTCGTACGAAGAAGTATATAATTATTTCTAATCTTATTTTGTAATATTGATAAATAAACTGAAGGTTGACTTTGGCTGAGCGCTGTCTTTTAATCCCATTCGACTCAACTAAGGCTCAATTAGATTAAATAACAACATTATTCGCGAAAGAAATACATTTTTCTTACGGAAACGTGAGGAAATTTGTAATAAATATAGCGGACAAAGAGAAAGTATCGACTAATAATTAATATAACATTTTTCGGCATTTATTAAGTTATGTGATTAAACGCATAATTTATGCGACGTCTGCCCAGTAAGAAATGATAAATTCACCCAGAAAAATATATGTTTGAGAAATTAAAAAAATTAATATTTTAATTATTAAGAGTGCATTCTTATATATTATAAAAACTACAATGTAATTAGTTTGGCAATCTTACTTACACAAAATATTTTGAAATTTTTCTCAAAATCAAAATTCCCAGGTGTATTGTTGTAGTTTAAATACTGCATTTTTCACGGATGCGCAGATGGAAAAAGTTCTATGAATCTCACTACCCGCAAAGGTCAATAGTCACTTTTTATCACATACTATAAAATTTCACTTCACTAGCTCGAGAAACTCAATAAAGATAACACGTCAACGTCGTACTATCGAGAATTTCGATGTCCCTGTTCAAGTGATTCGACAATAATTGTATTTCTGATGCGACGTCAATAACTGGCATTGCAACTTCCCTCGCGTGGCATAAGTATAACGATTGGCAGCTGGCTTAATACAATGGAAATGGATATTATCACAGAAGAACACAGCAGTACGCGAGAATAAATTGCGAACGGGGCGCAAAATATAACGAGCTCGTTATAAAAGTATGCGAGTAAGCTCGGAAAGAAATCGCGGCGAGTCAGAAGGCCAAAATCGCCTGGACAAAAAAAGAAGGTCAAGAGACGAGGATGGCTAAATGTAAACCGAATAGACACCAACGGGCAACGGCATCCTCGGGTCACCAGGGGAGGCGAGATGAAGGAGCGACAAATGACGCGGAGCACCAATGCGTAGGACAACGGAAGCTGCGCGCCGATCTACGTCCGTTGCTCCAATAACGAACCGACGAAACAAGGCCTCGGACCTCGGAGCGCCGCCACGGATGTGTTCTCACGAACGGAAAGGAGGGAAAACGACGCCGGCCGCGACTCGATGCGGTGGAAGAGTGGCGGCGGAAGGAGTAGCCGAGGGGCGCGGGCGGGGGCGGGAGCGGCGGTGGTAGCGGTGAAGGGGTATTCTGTCGGGAGCGGGGAGGAGGTACGGGAGGCGAAGCCAAAGGACGACGCTGCTGCGCCGCGGCCACGACATCGAGCCTTCGAAAAAAAATGGGAAGAAATGCGAAACGAAACCGTTGCGTTGTTAAAAGAGGCTCGAAGCAGTCCCTCCTACTCCCTCGCTCTCGCTCTTCTGCTCCGTGAAAGCGAAATGAAGTTTTTTCGGCGATTTACAAGCGCTCGCCTCGTCTCGGCCAACGCTTTGTCGAAGTCGACACACAGAGACAGAGAGACAGACAGACAGACAGACAGACAGACAGACAGACAGACAGACAGACAGAGAGAGAGAGAGAGAGAGAGAGAGAAAGAGAGGAAAAGAATGAGTGTGAGCGAGTGAGTGAAGAGGTAGAAGAGAGATTCGAAGAGCTTAGGCAGACAGACGCAGTACACCACATCCTTAAAGATCTTTACCCAACGATTTCGAGTATTAACGAAGCTTTTTTACACGCGCAATACTGACATTATTCTTAAAAGAATCGAGCGATAACTCGTCGCTTCCATTTCATTTACTTGCTTTGCACAAAAAAATCTCTCCGCCGCTTCTGTCACTCAAGGAGCATACTTTTCTCAATCATAATGAGATTTACCATTATTTCATTAAATTCAAAATTTTTACAACTAAATTTTTATATAAACGTAAGCATTTGAATAATATGAGTTTGAATGTAAAATTGAATGATCCTATATTGCATCCTGGGATACATATATCTAACAAATTTATTAAAATGTTAAATGCAATTAAAGCATTACAATATAGCATTACGAGAAATCATTGTAGAATAAAATGTGATTTCCGAGGGAATAAAACAGTAGTTGAGAAATTGAAGCGCTAAGAGTCTGCAACCCTGCGCATTCATCAATTAATTCCACAATTAACTACGAAAGTAATAGTACTATGAGCATAATAGATTTTTCATAGGCTTTCTTTAAGAAATTATCACGTGGTTATCCACCAAGTCTTATTCACAATTCCGGTATGCCAACTCATCATGAATCGTATATAAAACCTCCTTATCCAATAAGCGCTACTTCTATTATCCTTCAATCAACCCTGCGATCTGCTCTGTATAATTTTAATATCCCACTAAATATATTTGAATAGGAAGAATTTGTTATGAATAAATTAGCCCCGATACTTAAATTAATTTTTTGAAAATCCTTATCGATGCCGTTGCTCTTTAAGAATATCTTATTCTCAGCTTTATGAAAACATGAATTTACATTTCTGAAATATATAGAGAAATGCATAAATTACAAAATGTTTTTATACGCTTTTGTAAATTAATCATTAAATTATTACTCGTGTTTAAGATTAAAAATTGATTATATCTATAATTTCGACTTTTGTAATTCAGAATTGAAAAAGAAAAGGTAAAAATTCATGGTCCAAAGCCAACACTTACACATCCCGCTTTTATACGACAAATAAAGATCGACGCTACCTAAACCTGAGCAGAATGAAATATTTAGACAACAACAAATAGACCGATAAACAAACACGTACAAATAAGCAATGGTGAGAATAAGGAAAGAAAATATTGGAAAGACGTCGAATGTAGCAACAAAAGATTGTAAATCGACTGGTGTGCTATAACAGCAGTAGCAGCAGCGGCAGCATTCGGCAGGACTCCTCGAGTTGCTGTCCCTCGGTCGGCACGGCACATCCTTTTTTTATCTCTACTTCGCATCCAATACTTACGCGAGACGAAACGACGAAGAAGGCAGAAGCCAAAGGAGCAGAGAATCCATGCAACCGTCCTCTCCTCCGTGCCTCATCGGGAAGGGATCATGCGCACGCCTCTACATACATGTGTCCACACGCTCGGCGCGTGCACGTTCGTCTGCCGCGCGCGCGTGCGTGCGTGTGCGTGAGTGCATGCGTGCGCGGCTGCCGACGCGCGAGGCGAAGGTCGACGGGAGAGAAGTATCGATCCTTCGGCAACGACCTTATGCACCGATATACGTCCTGGGGGCCAATACTATGCAGAGGCCACCGACACTGTTGTTACTGTTGCTGTTACTGCTGTTGTCGCCGGCGACGCCGCCACCGCCGCCGCCACGGCTGCCGCGGCTAAACCGGAGATAGAGAGGCAAAAATCGCAATTGTGCCTAGTATTTTTAAAAGCTTAGGTATTATCAATGCCGTCATGAGTGTAATGTAG